GGTTTTTTGTGATTTGAGGCTAGGAGCAGTGCGCGGGACCTTTAACGCTAAGGGTTTTCTTTTCCCTTGTGTTTTATAGGTCCGGGGTGAATCTCCCACGCCGCTGCCGTTTGGTGCTCCTAGCCCTCAAACTCACGTTTAGGACTCGCAGTCCTGGTTTCGATTGAAACCCACCCACCCAACCCTTCTAAGCCCTAAGTATGCTTAGGCTTCCCGGACGGTCCTCCAAGCTTTGGAGTCCACCAGGGAAAAAAATGGGAGCGCTCTCCCCGCCTTTTATCAGGGCCCAGACCCGCGGTCTGGCCCTGTTTGCATCTTTGGGCCCGCTGGTCCTCTGATGCAGGCGTGGGCACGCATGCCGCGCCTTCATTCGGCACTTTTCAGCAAGGACACGCATGTCTTGCGATCTGTTTCACAGGGGGGGGAATATCTCGCCCCTTGTCCTAGGTGCACCGCAGTGCCCTAGGAAAGTGCTACCTTCCCAAGCAACCCGGTAAAAAAGGTGTGCGCCTTGCGGTCGGCTTTTGGGTTCTGGGTTTTTTGTGATTTGAGGCTAGGAGCACCTTTAACTTTTTAAAACATGACTGCTGCGGTGTGGCATGCTTGTCTGTTGCCTGCGGCGAACGCGTTTGGCCACGCCTACTTATGACTTGATTTGCCTTTGCAAGTCGCAAGAGAAAAGCCGAAGGCGCAGCCCACCCAGTGACTTCAACGCAAATTGATGAAGGTGCAACCAAGCAACTTTGCAAGCCCAAGTCTTTGCGACAACTTGGCTGGTCCAAATTGTTGCAAAATATCTGAAAATTGCATGGTAGAATGAAAATGTGTCAGGCATGCCTCTTTGTCAAAGTTATTGTCCTGCACATGATGATTGCTTGCAATCATATATTTGCTGTCGTTCACCTTCCCACCCTAAATTCCATGGCAGGTATTTCGGATTTGGTGGATGTGAAACGTATATAAACGTATATAATTCGCTCGCTTTGTGTGGTTGGTTTAAAGGGAAACCAAGGGATATCATTTGAGGGAGACAGGCCCAATTGAGTGTCAAACAGGCCCGCGACTTGCGTGGCTGTTCGCCATGCACAAGCCGCATGGCGCGTGGTTTTTGTGAGTACTGAAACGGTTGTATTGCATTGCTGTGATTTCACTCCCAAAGGGCAACTGAACTGTTGGATTGTTGAAACGAAGGCGGCATGACTTCGTTGCGCTTGACAAGACACTTATAGTTTGTGCAACAAACTCACATTTAAAGCAAGAGGGGGTTAGAGAGGTTGAATGCTTCTCGGATGATTGCAGAACATCGCCATGTGCAGAAATTTGGCTTCACAGTCCCTCACCAATTGTTGACTTTGTGGTAGCTCGGTAGCTCGGTCGCCTGAGAGATGTCGCGCTCTTGCGCGGTGGTGGTTGGAGCCAGCGGTGCTTTGTTGATGAGTTCGGACGCATTTGTGGCCGCCCCAGCCACGGCTCCACGGCAAATGAGCCACCAAGCTGCTTCTGCCCAGACGTCGCCAAGTGCCACGTCAGCTGCCTGGTCAGCCAGCTCGTGCGGTGCGGTGGCAGTGGCTGCTGCTGTTGGCATCCAGGCTCGTGGGCGGAAAACCAAGGTTGCTCGTGGGGAGGCACTCTACGAGCGGCAGAAGAACGCCTACGCCGATCTCGCTTTCCTCAATGATGTGGGATACTTGCCGGATGGCACGCCAATGCACAAGGCAGGAAACGCCATCAATCATCCGGAGAGAGTGGGTACAGACCCACACGTGAACGGTTCTGAGCTACCTCGGGGGCACTTCTCGAACTCGGTTGGCTACCTGCCAGACGGCACGCCCATGAATGCTGCAGGCAATGCCATCAACCACCCTGAGAGGATGCAGCCAGATCCGCACCGGAATGGGTCGCCATTGCCGGCTTCAGTCTACGCGGCGGACGTGGGATACTTGGTGGATGGCACGCCGATGAACGCGGCAGGCAACAACTCCTTGAAGGCTGGATCGGCAGCGCAGGCAGCACCGGCACCGGCGGCAAGCATGCATTCAACAGCAAGCTCTCCTGCTACCACGTCAACGGGTCGCGCTCAAGGCAACCTTGGAGCATCCCACGGCATTCAGTACCCCTTCAGCAACCAGAAGGACGTGTACGCTGACTTGGAGTACACCAACGATGTGGGTTACTTGCCAGACGGAACCCCCATGAACAGAGCAGGCAACGCCATCAACCACCCTGAGAGCATTCAGCCAGATTTGCACAATCCGGGATCTCCGTTGCCCAGAGCGCTGTTCACGAACTCGGTTGGCTACCTGCCGGACGGCACGCCCCTGAATGCTGCAGGAAATGCCATCAACCACCCAGAGAGGATGCAGCCGGACCTGCACAACCCTGGTTCACCGCTGCCGGCTTCAGTCTACGCGGCGGACGTGGGATACTTGGTGGATGGCACGCCGATGAACGCGGCAGGCAACAACTCCTTGAAGGCTGGATCGGCAGCGCAGGCAGCACCGGCACCGGTGGCAAGCATGCATTCAACAGCAAGCTCTCCTGCTACCACGTCAACGGGTCGCGCTCAAGGCAACCTTGGAGCATCCCACGGCATTCAGTACCCCTTCAGCAACCAGAAGGACGTGTACGCTGACTTGGAATACACCAACGATGTGGGTTACTTGCCAGACGGAACCCCCATGAACAGAGCAGGCAACGCCATCAACCACCCTGAGAGCATTCAGCCAGATTTGCACAATCCGGGATCTCCATTGCCCAGAGCGCTGTTCACGAACTCGGTTGGCTACCTGCCGGACGGCACGCCCCTGAATGCTGCAGGAAATGCCATCAACCACCCAGAGAGGATGCAGCCGGACCTGCACAACCCTGGTTCACCGCTGCCGGCTTCAGTCTACGCGGCGGACGTGGGATACTTGGTGGATGGCACGCCGATGAACGCGGCAGGCAACAACTCCTTGAAGGCTGGATCGGCAGCGCAGGCAGCACCGGCACCGGCGGCAAGCATGCATTCAACAGCAAGCTCTCCTGCTACCACGTCAACGGGTCGCGCTCAAGGCAACCTTGGAGCATCCCACGGCATTCAGTACCCCTTCAGCAACCAGAAGGACGTGTACGCTGACTTGGAGTACACCAACGATGTGGGTTACTTGCCAGACGGAACCCCCATGAACAGAGCAGGCAACGCCATCAACCACCCTGAGAGCATTCAGCCAGATTTGCACAATCCGGGATCTCCGTTGCCCAGAGCGCTGTTCACGAACTCGGTTGGCTACCTGCCGGACGGCACGCCCCTGAATGCTGCAGGAAATGCCATCAACCACCCAGAGAGGATGCAGCCGGACCTGCACAACCCTGGTTCACCGCTGCCGGCTTCAGTCTACGCGGCGGATGTGGGGTACTTGGTGGATGGTACCTCCTTGGATGCTGCGGGCAACAACTCCTTGAAGGCTGGATCGGCAGCACAGGCAGCACCGGCGCCAGCAAGCATGCCCACTGTTTCAGCATCGCCACCACAGATGGCGGCTGCAGCCTTTGTGAGCTCTTCGCAAGTCAGGCGCCCCGGAGGGTTTGACTATTCGCTCCAGAAGGATTCGTTTGCCGACTTGAAGTATGTGAACGATGTGGGCTACTTGCCTGATGGCACTCCTTTGAACAAGGCTGGCAACGCCCTTAACCATCCTGAGCACGTGCAACCTGACCGCCACACCCCAGGGTCGCCCCTGCCACGCGCCAACTTTGCCAATGAGGTGGGCTACTTGCCAGATGGCACTCCCATGAACCGAGCCGGCAATGCCATCAACCACCCCGAGAACATTCAGCCAGACCCTCACACGCCAGGTTCCCCCTTGCCTGCATCGGCTTATGCTGCGGACATTGGCTACTTGGTGGATGGCACACCCATGAAGGAGGCTGGCAACAATTCCATCTCTCGCTGATGGCTGAGGGATATTTTCAGCAGTGCAACCCGGGCAAAGGCCCTGAGTTTCGATTTGCATTGGCTGATAGTTTCGAAGTATCGCTCCCGTCCTCTGGCATTGGCCAGTCCCCTTTGCCACGAAGATGGGCAGCTTTGAGTTTCAGTTTTCCGCTGCTTTGAAGTGGCAAATTGTTCTGATATGCAGTGGGCTCGCTTGGACAGCATGCGCATGGAATGATCTTTGGTGAGGTCCGTCACAAGGGCTGATGCAAGGATGCGCAGAGCGAGCCCGCATTTCAATGAGAGCAACAGTCAATATTCATGGTCTGCTTTGGTGAAGAGTTTCACCAACATTTCCACACCGAATTGTTACTGATCAAAATCCCATTGGATTTCATATTGACAGTGGCTCTGGCTAGACGGTACCCGCCTGAGCTAAGGGCTCGGCCTTTGCGGTGCAAGCACATGGTCAATGTACGGCGAAAGCTGCTCGTGCGTGAAGCACGGAAAACCAGGGCCGGCAGAAGCCATCGTTCCGGTTGCCCGAGGAAGTGTCATCTCTTTTGGGGGGCAGACAGTCGGTTCCTTGCCGGTGAGCGGTGCTGTTTGCTGCCAGACTTGAGGACATGTCTTGGAGATCCTATGCAATAACGCTGCCACCTTTCGATGATGATGATGCTAGGAACATATCCCGTGGGCAAACAGCTGCAAGAAGCATGTTTGAAGACGACGCATGTGCCCTACTCTAGGAATCATGAAGGCAGACATGTGGTATGAAGGCAGGAGCATGGACTTATGCAGGGATTGTGAGAGCTTTCTGGGGGGCATGTTGCATAGCAAACTGGGCAATCACACATGGGCAATGTCACTTCATTGCTCAGCGAGACATTATGAGAGTGCTTGATTTACCGTCATGGAACAAGCCCTTTATCCTGAAGCATTTTTGTTCCCAAGCTCAGTCTTACGTTGGCAACAGAGCGCAGCACATGGGTTTACTGTCTGTGTGGTTCCATTTTTGGTGTCCCTTCCTAGTCAGCACCAAAAGGGTACCCTCAAAACACATGTGATAAACCCATGTGTTCCTCGGGGCTGGCAGCAGATTCTCACATTAAGCTTTGCATGAGAATGCTTGGCTATGGCGCCCAAAGCCAAAGGTGCGCTGGAGCCTCACAGCGGCATGCGACAGAGAAACCCAGTTTTGCCTCTCAGTGCATGAATATATTTGGCTGTGGGTCAAAACCAATGGGATCCCATTTTGGGTTAGGTGCCACCCATTTTAGAACCGAGTCTTCTACTTCCATTGGCTTTCCTCAGCACACTGGGCTTCGGAATGATCTCCGCTGAGGAGTCAGCCATCAGACCGACCAAGGACAGGGAGTCTTGTGCCACGATCATGTAGAGTTGGAGAAGATAGACGGTGTCAGATTTGTGGCGCGGAAAAAGATGAGGTGTCATGCTGGTCGACTAGGCATTTGGCGCTACGCTCTGGGAACACGCCCTAACGAAGACATGCCTCAATCAGCAGTTGGAAGATCAGAGTTCGAATATTTTTTGTCAGCCAGATGTTTTGGTTTGTTGACTTATGCTTCTCAAAAAGAGGAGAACCGAGTTTCCACGCCGACATTTCCCTTGCTGGAGCTTTTGCCTGTGCAGCAGGCCTTGGCTATTTTTCTGCGTTCAGACGCGTGGGCGGCATGGGGTTCAGCTGTGCTCGCCTTCAGGAGTCCAGCGAGGACCGAGGCTGGGCGGGTTGCTAGCTTCTTGGTGTTGGAGGCCATTGGGTCTGGCTCAAAGCTCAAGAGCTAGGGTTAGGCACTCAAAATTTAAGAGCTAGGGTTACGCAGGTTTTAGTCTTTGGTTCCATTTCCCAAGGTGCCAGTCTGGTACGTTTTTTTTGAGCCGCAGCCCATTGTCTTCAAGGCTTCGACTAGGTTTTCAGGAATTCCGCCGAGAGCTCTGCGGCCAGCAGGCCCCATTGTCTGGCGATTTGGCCATGGGTCAAAATCGTACGCCCAGGGATCCCCACTGAAATAGGTTCTAAAATGGTTGGTGCACCTACCCCAAAATGAGATTCCATGGGTTTTGACAACAGCCATTTGCGTTGAGTTCGCTTGAGCCAAACGAGTCGCGAGCGGGACATGTGGAGCCAGTCGGCTGGCGCCGGGCAAGGCCTCAAAGTCGTCGCCGCCGAAGTCGCCGAGAGCGGCTCAGCTGCCAGAAGCGAAGGATGGGATGAAGGCCTCACTGAGGTTCGATTCGGCAAGTGAAGTGGTCCACTTGGGGTAGCCCATGAGCCCTTAGCAAGGTGTATAGCTGGGTTAGCTTCTACCAGCAACTTCTAGGTAGGCAAGCTAAGGCTGGAGCTTTCAGACACTTGCGGCAGCCTTGCGTTTCTACCAGAGGCTGACTGCTCCGTGAATTTGCGTGCTGTACTTCATGTGGCCATGCCTGTTGGCTTCCCAAGCATTGGGCCGAGTGAGCGCGGCCAGGAGGCTGAGATAGCGCCAGCCAGCTTGAGCCTCAGTTCGTGGTTTCGCACGTGGAGGCTCTTCTGAAGTGGACGGACACCTGGAGCTGAAAACAAATGGATGGGACCCCAAAATGTTCCAACACGGTGGTTTCCTTGTTAGTTTTCCTTTAAAGCCATCCAAGAAGGGGTGCTTTCAAAAAAAGATGCACATCCGTCGGTTTGCCAAGTGAGAGTACAGCCTCAGGTGCGCGCACTGGTGCCAGCCATCGGAAAAGTCTGCTGGACCAAATTGCCGGGGCCCCTGCGGTCGAATTGATGTCAGGCTCAAGGCATTTCTGTTGGCGGCTATTTGCAGAGATATCTCGAGATGTTTGCGAGCAGGTTGCTGAGTCAAACGGCCGTTCCCGAGTTCAACTAGCACGAGTTCTTGCTACAGGCAACCATCAATTTTGACCTTTCTGCTCGACGCGAAGCTTGGCATGTGAAGCTTCTACTGGATCTGCCGCTCTGTTTTGGACACAGGACCTTAAAACGACTGCCTTAGCCTAAAGCCTTACACCCTAGAATCCCTGCACAACCCAAACCAGGCCAAGACCTCAAGATCAAACGTTAGCCGACCCTAAACCAAACCTTAAGCCTTAAATGCAGTTTGCCACAATTTTCCCCCCCTTTGGTGCGGGGTAGCATTTGGAACTCCAAGGAGCCGCTTCCCGGCAAGCCGCTCGGCCAATGGCGGTGGGGGGATGCAGGCTTCGCCCTGGCGCTTCTGAAGCGTGATGGCTGCCATCAAAATATGCTTCTCCTTTAAGCCTTGTCAAGTCTTTGGCTGGACCACTGGCTTTAATTGTGGATCAGCATGTCAACTTGGCCAATTTGGGAACAACGCAGGCTTCTGAAGCAGGTGGCGCTTGCCTTTTCGAAGTCTTTTTCGGACTTGTGCAGCTTGATTGTTTGTGGCTGGCTTGGATGTGCTGTGCCCTATTGCAAGATGTAATCCGGGCTTGCCTTGCGCCCCTTTTCTTTGCCGTGGAATCGTGGGTTTTCCTTGGGCTCATCGTTGATTGGGGCTGGGCTTTGGGCCTTTGGGGTGCTGATTCAGAGGTTTCAGGAGCTTGAGGTGGCTTTCGGGTAGCTTTAGGGTGGCTTCGGGTTGCTTCAGCCTGGGTTTAGGGCGGGCATGGGCTTGGTTTCGGAGGTCTCCGGATTTGGTTGGTGCATCCAAGCACGTCCACTATTCCAACCCATCCAAGCTCATGCCCATTCGGGTGTTTCTTTTTTGCAGGAAACTCCTTTTTTCTTTTTCTCGGGACAGCAAAAGAACAAAGCATTTGGGTGTTTCTTTTTTTCAGGGACCCCTTTTTTTTTAATTAATTTTCGACGCCAACAGAACGGCGCACCTTTTTTTTTTTTGCGTCTCTCCTTTTCAACGTCCCTGCCGCATGTCGGCAGAGACCTTTGTTCGACTTGGGGTTGCCAGGGCCTTGGCGGAGCCGAGCACGCCCAAGCTCCTGCGAAGGTGCCGCGGCCTCGGATCGGGCCTCGGAGAAGAGTGCGGGGTCTTAGTCTCAAGCGGAGGAGTCTTTCGCAGGCAATTTCTTGACGCAAGAAATACCTTTGAGAGACCAAACAGCCCGCAGATTTTTTTTGGACAGCTTCCAAAGCTGGCCTGTGTCATTCGGAAACATGGCTGTTGGGTTCAGTGGCTGTTGTGCTTTGAGATTTCCGAACGACGTGGTAGCTTGCCGCGAACGCCTCATGTTATTTTTCTTTCTTCTTCACTTTTCACTCTTTCCCCAGGAGTTTGCTACTCGTCTGCATGCTGATCAAGCAATCCTATTGCAATGCTTCGCTCTTCGCCCCTGAGACGTGTGTTTCTGCCAGGAGCCTCGGGAGTTGAGGGTCATGGAAACGGAATTTCGGTCTTTAGGCCTCACAGTCCTTCTTTTCGGAGTGAGACTCCCACCTTTGAAAGACATTTGGGGCATCTATGAAAGGTTTAAAGGGGTCCTTCCCGCTTCGGTTTTTGAGCTTTGGATTCTCGCTGAGCGAAAACTTTCTGAAACGACCAACCAACTAACCAAGTCAGGAAGCCATCCAGCCAGCCAGCCAAGCAAGAAAGCTAGCAAGCACGCGAGCCAAGCAAGCAACCAACCAGCCAACCAACCAACCAGCCAGCCAACAGACCAAACAACAAACAAGCAAGCAGATATTGGGCATAAACCGTCGCTTCTCAAGGTCGAAGCACAACGCCAGTGCGGCCAAAAGGGCCTACGACCTTTAGAGGGTCAGAGCCTGAGCGTGCTGCCAATCGAGATGGGTTGTCTTTTTCTGGCAGTCTTCCCTCAGCCTCTCGTCCAGACAAAACCTCCTTTTCTTTTTTGCAGGCTGCTTAGCAATTTCCATGTCCTTTGAGGCGATCTGAGCAACTTGTGACTCTTTGGCTAATAGGTCCACTTGTTGTGAATCTGAGTCCGTTTGTGTCGAGGTCGGAAAAAAAAGCGTGGGAAAGCGTATCTGGAATCGATTGCATGATTTCCGGAAAGAGAAGGGCCCAGCGGAGCTTGCCCCGCTTTAGCCTTGAGTTTGCTTAGTCCATTTTTTGATTCGTCCACACATGTTTTTGGTTTGTATCAGGCTGTTGCAGGACAATGAGACCGTTGCTGGCTGGGTGGCGGGAGGCTCAGATACTCAAAACGGACAGCCAGCTGCGCAGGTTTTGAATGCCTGCGACTCGCTTGGCCTCTCGCAGTCAGTTTTTGAAGGCCGCAAATTTGGGGGGGAGTGCCCAACAAAGACAAAGCACGGGTACCAATGCTGCCTCATGCGAGGTCATTTGCACGTTCTTCTATTGCTTTCTTGAATGGGGTGTGGTCCTTTCGGTTTGTGTAGGTGGGACCCTTGACATATGGTCCCTGTATTTCTGTCTTCGCTGGTTTAAACATCACCATTTGGGCAACTTTGAGATGAGTTTCTTTGTGGAGCGATTTTCAAGCACCATTGGACATATAAGGATATAGAGAATACAACCATACGCACGAGACAAACACATCCAAAAATAAAAGCGCCAACTATTCAGAAACAGTCCTCCAACATGCATGTACAGGTGATGCATGTTTGGTTGCAGTTCAAGAGGTACATTTATGTAAGTATACAACACCATACACACGTACCGTACTTGCTTTTTGCTCAAAGTTTTTGTTGTGACTTGGGTGACTGGCAGACACCTCGCTAGATGCTCGGGGCTTTGGCCCCTTCTCAGGAAACCCCCATCCCTGGCTGGCGACTTGTTGCGACCCATCCCCGGTGTGAAGGTTGAGTCCTTCAGTAAGTGCAGGAGCACGACACCCGGATCCGCTGCACGATGCCCCTGAACCCTGCGGCTGAGGAGGCGGCGGTTTTTGGAAAGTCGGAGGCGCTTCGGTCGCATAGGTGTCCTTTGAGGTTATTGTGGCGAGAAATAGATGGCACTGGTTTAGGTTGGTTTCATTCCATTTACCAGGGCCATCTATTTTCCCAAAAGGACACCTATGTTCAGTTGGGTGCATTCTCCATCTGCCATTCTCGAAATTTCTCCCCCGGGTTCGAGACATTTCCTCTGACTGGCTTTCAGGAGGAGGATAGAGCCGGCGTCTCAGTGGCGTATATCTCTCCCCACTCGAACTCGACGGCGGGACCTGCCTTGATGGGAAGTTTTGCTGCCCTTCCCATTTCGGGATGGTTGGTTTTTCCTTGATTTTGTCGCATTCTACGTATTTTTAAAGTATATATATATATATGTACATTTACATTAAATGTGGTTAGGTTTTGAGTCAAGCACCACGGCCGGTTGAGACATGTAGGAAACAAAGCCCAAGCATCACGTGTGGCCAGGTCTTCTAGATCTCTAGACAAGGGTGCGTGGCACGCAGACTCCAAACACTTTGCGTTCGTTCCCACTGGACACGAGGGTGTTTATTTTTGAGGCTTGGACTGAGGACACCTGTTTTGGTTTAAAGGGAAGCCAGAAGGAAAACCGAAAACCGCCATTTTGGGGGGGTCCTCCAAAAGCAAACACACCCAAACAGACTCCTAAGGACCAGGACAAGCCGCAGGTTTTAGTGCTGCCATTCGGGGTATTCCATTTTTGAGCACCCAACATTGTCGAACTTCCGAGGGCCCGTTGCCGGTTCATCCAGCTGCAGAAGCGGCCAAGCAGCGGGGGAAGAAGCAACGCGGGGTGAAGAGGCCAGGCCAGTCGCCATTCTTTTTTTGGGGGGGACCCCCCCAAGATGGAGTTCGGTTTTCCTTTTGATGCCCTTTCAAGCCACAAACATCAAGAAAGACGAGCCGCCCAAGTGCGCCGTCATTTTGGCATCCAGTGGAACTCCCACTCGAGCCGGGGGTGCAGATCCGACGCCGCGTCTTCCGTCCAGAAGTGCCATGTCCGGTCCGGATTCCCCTGTCTTGATGGTTAGCCCGTGTTGTCAGGCTTCTAGTGGTTTTTAGTCGGTTTTTAGCCAGTAAGGCACCATTTGACTTTGCATTTGCTGGATTTGATGTTCCATTTGATGCAGTTGTTGGTTACAACGCAATGAGCCAAGAATTACTTTCTGGTGCTCAGCAAGGAATGAGAAATGCAATGACCCTGAGATACACCATCCAGCTGGTGGTTTCCTTTCTTCGGGAATTTGCAGGTTCAAGCCATTTCTCATTCCCTACTATCGACACCACTGAAAATTCGTCACTTTTAGCGCGGGGCTTCTTTTCAAATCTTCCTTCCATGTAGGGAGTAGGATTTCCACCCGCCATACTCGGCTTCAATGGCTTCAAAGTGCCTCGAGGTACGCGGGGATCGGGGCCCAAGCCTCCAACGTGGACCAGGCAAGGCGTATGGCTCACAGAGGGTTTTGGGGCTTGGGACCCTTGAAGGCGAGCATCGGGCCTTTTCTCTTTTCCGCGTTGAGTTTTTTTTGAGACTACCCTTAGAAGGGGTTGTTTGCTGCCTCAGCAAGGTCTTGACCTTTTCTTGCAGACGCGCCAGACGCGCGTGGCTTGTCCCCGCTTGGATGAAACCAAGCTCCCCTGGGGTCCAGAAGCGGCTCAGAGACCTTCGGGTTCATCGAATCAGAAGGCACCTGAGATTGGATTGAGCTACGAGACCTGGGATCTCAGACACGACCCATGGCTTGCACCTTTTTCTTTTTTTTTTTAATCACTGCTTTCATGTCTGGCTAAGATTTTTCCTTCCCGGTGGGAACCAACCAATCGAGTCAAGCTTTCAGGCGTCATTTCAATGGCCGGGAATTTTACATTTTTGCCTCCTCCAAAAAAACAGCAAAACAAACAATAAATCAACAATCCCGTGTTGTTTTTTCTCCGTTTACACCTACCCAAACCGCCCAGATCATCTTCGGTCGCGACATGGACTACAGCCAGGGAGATGGCGGAGATCAAGCAGCCTGGCGCTTGGTCCGAGAGCATTGGGTTTGTCTTGGGGGGAGCTCAACAATGGGTTTCCTTTTGGTTTCCATGTAAACCAACCTCAAAAGCGCACCCTCAACAAACACACGCCCTGTTTTTGTCCGACTGCTCTGGGAAGTTTGGCCGGATGACTTCCGTATTTTGAACAGCATTGATTCACTATGTCTGCTTAAATTTGCCGGGTTTTCCCTGCTCTCTTGCGTTCAGAGAAGGTGCATCTTCATGCCGACGTTGAAGGTGATCAGAATTTCCGCGCGAAGATACATGGAAGGGCGGCCTCGCCAAAAAGACCGCGGTCTTTCAACCCCCTCCGAGATCAGCTTTCAGGATAGGAGGGAGGGCACCCCAGGCTGGGTGAAAGGGAAACGAGAAGTTGTCACCGGGGTGAAACGGAAGGGAGTCGATGCTCTTGGGGCCTCTAGATCAGACCGTTTTGGGCGTGTCTCAAAACAGGGGAGCCTCCAAAACGGGTGGTTTTTGCAACAAGCTTGCCCAGACTTAGTGCCCCCTTTTCATATTTTGTCTTTTGGCGTCGCCTTTGTTTTCCACCAACCTGGCAAAAACAAATCTAGTTTTTTGCTGGGATCCTAATTCCCCTTCAAGCAAAGAGGATGCTGCCCAAAGCAAGGCACCCCGCAGTTGGTCTCAGGCCTATGCCGGCCGAGCTGGCGTCTCTTCGCAGGCCCACGTGAAAGCAGGCGCTGACCCACCCCATCCCCAGCGAATTTTTGCTGAACCCAACCTGGGAAAGCTGGGGTGGTTGAAAGGGAAACCAAAGGGACACCAAGTACTTTTCGGGGTGCCACGGTACGGTGGGAAGCAGAGATTTGCACCTCCAGGGGGTGTACATGAGGCTTCATTCGGGTTTTCATCCTGACTGGTCGCACTGGGCCAACTGTGACCATTAACGTAAATTGGAAAGCTAGAAGCTTGGTTATCTATTTGGGCAGGAATTCGGTGCCAAGCTTTGCATTCAGGAGGCCATGTCGGTGTGTCTTTTGTGAGGGTTTCACTTTTTGCTCGATTTGAAAGGGACACCCACAAAGAACCTTGTGGGGGGGGTCCGACTCCAAAACAATCGAGCCAGCCATGTCTCGGACTCCTGAGCGGAGCTGACAGGCGGAGTCAAGAAGGTGGAGATGACTCAGAGGGAAACCTTGGTGCATAGCCCCTACGGTGTCACCTCGGACGAGAAGGTGCAAGATGGGTCTCTCTTAGTAAAGTGGCCGGTGGATCCACTTTTCTCGATCCAGCTTTTTTGGGGGGCGCTTGCGTGAGAGACGATTTCGGGAGATGATTTTCGCGGGCTGGGCTGAAGGAGGAAACCCAGGCACTGGAAAGAACGGTCTTGGATTTGTCACACGCCATGCGGACCGGGGACCCATGGACCCATGGACCCATGGGCAGTGGGCCGATACCCGGCAGGAACCGGAGCGCAGATGCGAGTCCAGAGCAGCCGGCCTGCTTGAGAAAGACGAGAGAGAGAGCATGGGACGCTTTTTTTGAGTTGGTGCCATTTTTGTTGGTGGTTCTTGAATGGAGACCAGAAGGAAAGCCCCCCAAAAAAGAGACATGCGCATGCAGTCCATTCAGTAGACAAGTGCAAGATCAGCGATGGTCTCTTGAAAGTCTGGGCCTTCCCTTCAGTGGACACTGGCCAACCTAGGCGATCCCATGTCGACACACAGTCAGTGGGAAATTCCAGTGTCCACACTTCCTTGGGTGTTGAATACCCAGTACTGGGCTCTGGAACGAGACCTGGCGCTGCACAGTTGCATCTTAGGCTTTTGAAGTGGATGAAATCCCGGCAAATAAGCAGGTAGGGAATCAACAGGGGTTTGGGGAATGAATCGTTTCGGGTGAAAGGACGCCACAAGGGATGGTTGATAGGGGTCATTGCCTCATTCCCTGCCGCGCATTCGCCAGTTTGGAGGTAAGGGAGTCCAAACCACCAATCCAGCCCACCAATTCAGGGTGATACCCGAGCAAAGCTTACAACGGCTTGTTTCACTCGAGAAGTTTCAGATGCGCTAGTTCCAAGGGAGAGAGGCGTGCAGGGAAAAGTCAATGAACAAGACACAGTTTTGAGCCCCGCTTTATCGCAGAGTTTCCGTGAGCCACAATCAAAGCCTGGGTAGATGAGGGTTAGTAAGCGACGATCCCAACCAGAACTGGCTGCGGCCGCCTTCTTAATTCTGTACATGATTCTGGGTAAACCATTTTAGTACCAGGTTTTGATTGCGACTCAGGTAGTCTTTTGGTACTGCACATGACCCCTGACATTCTGACCACATGAACTGGTCAAAATACGGGTGCACTTCTCCAGGGAACCCCTTTTTTGAGTTGATTTTGCCCTCCTGTCCACTAACATGGAACCCACGGGTCCCTGAACCAAGGAGCATAGTCCACGAGTCAGGTTTCAACGATGGGAGGCTTCCCTGAAACTCATTGGTAAGCCAAGCATTGCTCATGGCAGGCCCCTTGTCGCCCAACTGCAGTCCCGGCATGGCCGAGGAGCCGGGCCGGGCATAGATGCATATAGAATTTATATCTAATGTATATGTATTTAATATACTGACGGCCAAAGCGAACTGAGCCACAATCAAAGCCCGGGTAGATGAAGGTTAGGAAGGGGCAGTCCCAGCCAGTCGTTGCGGCCGCCTTCTTAATTCTTTACATGGTTCTGGGTAGACCTTTTTAATACCGGGTTTTGATTGTGACTCAACTGACCTAGCTGGCAATCCTTAGACAGTTGGTAGGTGGATGTCCTTGTAACTGTAGAGGACCAAACCAAATCAGGAGCTTCTGGCCAGTCATTTGAGCAGATCACTTTTCGATTACTCAGATGAGAAAAAGGAAAGGTGGTCATGCAGAAGGGCCAGCTCACGCTTGATGAAATCAACCAGTTGCGGGATTGGCAACGTCTTTAAAGCTGACTGGAGACGTGCCACGTGATTTGGCAGGACCCACTTGTATTTGTGACACTCGTTGCAGTCATTTGCGCCTGCACGGCGCAGGTCTTTGGGAACGAGCCTGTGAATGAGGACAAAGTGGAGGCCGTTGCCCCGAGATTGCCGGGTTGCGTTTGTTGGGTGGAAGTGGCGCGCATCAACAAGCAAGTGGACGGGCCAGCTGCAGAAAGCAAGAGTCCGCCGCTCAGTGAATCTTACCTAACTCGAGATCTCTTTGGCAATTCCAAAACTTTCCGAGGGTGGCTGTTTCCGTTTCGCTACGCCATCAGCCGCAGGCGGCTCGCCTGGCCTGCTTCGGCGACGCGGCGGGGTTTGGGCTCGAGAGGGGATGCATGCGGGGTGCTTTTTTGGTTTTCTGCGGGGTCCCATATTTCAGGGTCTCCGAACCTGTGGCTTCCCCCAAAAAAATTGCGGCAGTTTGCCTGGTCTGAAACTGGGGGGCCTGTTTCGGGCCCCGGCTTCTTTCTCGCCTTGCAGGCCGGCACGCGCTCCTGGAAATCCAGCCCCAAGCCGAAGCGGGAGGAGCGACCCTGCGCGAGCCGCGGGCTGTACTGGATCCAAAGACTCGCTTCCAGCTTGTTTTTTGAGTATTCGTTTCTTGGGAGCCGCTAAGGGAAAGCAAGAGGACAACCATTTCGGGGGTTCCCTAAAAAACACGCACTCATGTGGCCGAGCGTTGGTGGGAAGGATCCACCACAGACCAGCCTGAGTTTAAGATGAATGGCCATTCATCATCCATCCAATTTGAGTCTTTTTTCAATCAGCCGCAACCGTGGCCCGCGCAAGGCACGCAAGACACATTTGTGGCCATGGCAGCTGTGAGGTGTGAACATGCGGGGACCCCCATGTTTAAATCGACCCATTTTGAGGTGTGCTCCGCTTCCTTTGCTTTGCTTGGCTCAGGATGAGGGTGCTGCGTTGCTTGTGATGGACATGGCTGGTAGGTGAACTACCCCATGTCAAGCTACGTTTTTTTCTTTTTCTTTTTTTTCAAGGTGGCGTGAGTGCCATCCTGCCAAGTAGGTGCCTATGTTCGTGGGCCATTCGCTGTAGTTGTCAGACGTATGCCCCTCCGCCTTCTTTAAGACTTCGTTTAGGTTTTCGTCGTGTGAGCCACAAGAGGTTGACAGGTGCGGGGCTCCTGAGGTCAAGAAACACACACCCGTGGGGAATTGACCAAGCAGCAGAAAGACAGGTTCCTTCTGCTGCTGCTGCTGCTGCTGCTGCTGCACCATTTCTTATCCGTGAAGGTTTTGCATTGTACTTGGGTGTTCAAAAAGAGAATAACAGGGAAACTGGGGTTAGTCTCCGTGTGATCATGCTTATAACTCACCTATCTGACGTGGGTTGGACACCTAAGTGCGTGTGTGTGTTATTCTCGGAAATACAGAAGGACTCCCGCAAAGCAAGAGCAACAGGAGAGGCCAACCCATTCAAAACGATATTCTTCCAAGAACTCTCCATACCTTTTGATCATATCCCCAACCTCCGGATTTCTTTTGGAAGCTCTTGGGATATGGGTGTGTGTCAAAATTTAAGAGCTAGGGTTACGCAGGTTTTAGTCTTTGCTTCCATTTACCAAGGCTGCCATTTTGGTGCATATTTTTGAGCCACCGCCATATGCAAAGCTTCAACTGTATTTTAGTCGAAAGTTCGGATGGATTTTCTGACTGGCTGACAGGACGGCCCGCGGACTCCGCGCCGGAGCCCTGACAAGAGGAGTGACTAGGTCTTGGGAACGCAGGTCTTCATTTTTAATGAGCCAGGGGTGTCATCAAAAAAACAACAACAATTAACCAATGCTGGTTCTGTCTTGGATTCCCCCAACCCCCAAATGGGTCCCAACCTTGTTTTGGCTCAGATCAGCTCACTCACTTTTGCAGTTTGTCGGCTGATATGGTAAGGTTCGATTGGTGTGGCCTTCTCTTCGTTGCTCCTCCTTTCAAACAACACACCGTTTTCCCATTTTAGTATGGGTCAAAATACAATCACCAGGGGACCGCAACTTTTAGTCTTTGGTTTCCATTCACCAGGGTTCCATTTTGGGCACGCATTCTTGACCCATAGCCATGTAATTTGCAGCAAATCTGTTGGTGCAAAGGGGTGGCTCTGCGCTTCGGGCTTGCCTTCAGGGAGCTCTGGCGACCTGGTCTCGAAGGTGGTCTTTGGTGGCCAAGGACGGGGTGTGTGGGAGGACCTCCCACAAGTAGTCTACGGTCTTTTGGCAGGGACATGGGGCACTCACAACGTGTGGCTGCGGGTCAAAACCGTTTTGTGATCCCATTTTGGGGTAGGTGAATTCACCACCCATTTTAGAACCTATTTTAGTGGGGCTTGGGATGTTCAGTGGTACGAGATTTTGACCATGGACATGTGGATTCGCGAAGGCGAGCAGCAAAATCTTTTCCGCTCGCATGGCCTACCCGGGAAGCACAGGTGGGCTCTTAGCGTCGACGGAGCCACCCTTTGAACTCTGAAGGTGAGGTCAAGCGCGTAGCGGTCGCCAGGCTCTGTGCCGGAGAAGGAATCCTTGGCTGATGCGCGTCGGGGGCCGCAGAGCCTCAAAACAGGGACTAAGAAGTGTGGACAGGCCTTCGGCCTTTGATAGAATCAGTTCACGTCTTCGATCCGTGTTTCCTTGCTGCCCGGCGCACTTTTTTTGCACAATCTTCACCGTCTTCTAGTTTTGTCCTCAGGAGAACAAGAGAAGACCGATCGACAGGATGCTTTCCCACGTGGGTGTGTGATTTCGGGAGCCCCCAACAACTTCCCAAAACTTGTTGTCTTCCTCTTGGTTTCTCTCAAACTTATCAAACAAGGGGTAGCAACTCGAAAAGATGTGAGGCCGCGTCGCACCCGCGGCGCAGCCGAGGCAAAAAGCGCGTTGACTCGCCGGAGCCTCGGGTTGTGCCGCTTGAGAGTTTGGAGGCCAACGGGAGAGCCAAGGAGCGGAAGGAAAGTGACGACCTGGCCAAGAGAATCCATGTGGCTGTGGTTGTCAAAACCGTTTTGGTTGATCCCATTTTGGTTGGGTTTCGGTGAATTCACTACCCATTTTAGGCTTCCTATTTTACTGGTTGGATTGAATCGGATGTTCACTGGGGGTATGATTTGGATTTTGACCCATGGCCATGTTGCCAAGAGAAGCGGCTGAGTACCCCTCGTTCGCCACCTCATTTCCATCATTGGCCTCAAATGCCAAAGCCAGGGATTTTTTTCCACAACGTTTACGAAGAAGACGTTTAGTTTTGTCTCAAACCTTGACACAAAACTGGAAAGGTTGGTTCCTGAAATGGACCTGAAATGACGGGGAACACCTCAAGAGACTATGGTCCCTGGTCATGATGTTGGCTTTCAAGCTGCTTTCATGTACATTCACGGAGATCAACAAGCTGGGACTTCCAATCTTGCCACTGATTCGCACTCCATTCCTTTAAGGCGAGCTGCTGCATCACGGGCATGAAAGCCCTCAGTCACCTGGAACATTGAACAAGACCATGCGGGCAAGTGTTTTTTCCGAGGGTACACTTTTCAGGTTGGTTTTTGAAGGGACACCAAAGGACCACCATGTTTGGTGTCTCCCCCTTGACAACTACCCATGTGGTGCTTCATCTAGTTGCGTTCCGTGCCTCATTTTTTCCATTCCCAAAAGAATCACCAGGGGTTGTCTTAACAGCTTCCTCATTTCTTCCCAGGCTTCCCAACAGAATCATGTTATTCATTTCGTCTAGAGAGACAAAAACCAATTTCCTGTAAGATTAGCTCTTTTAATTCTATTCACCAGGGGTTGTCGCCCCCCTTCGTTTCTTCCAGGCTGAGCCCCAAACAAAAAAGCCCACGCGTTACACACCCGCGCTGAGCCCCGCAACGCTTCGCTCCGATCCCAGGTCCCGGGCCTTCGTGGACCTCGCAGGCGCGAAACGCGGGGGCGACGGGTGCGACGGGTGCGGAGTCTCCGGGTTTTCGGAGCCGTGGGGAGCCGTGGACGGCCGGGGGAGCCGCGGATGATTCTTTTTTTTAATTTTGCCATGGCTCAGGGAGAATTCTCAAGTTTTTAGAAAGTCGAGGCAGAAGGGAGCTGGGCAATGCGGCGCTTGGCATTGTGCCGAAACATGCGCAGACTCGCGGAATGGATCGGTGCCATTGCGTCGGGGAAAAGGGAGTCGCCTCGAGAGAGCGGGTACTCCACCAAGTCAATGCCTTCTTTTGCTCCCCCCCAAAAAGAAAGCTGCGTAAAACACAAAAACAAACATGTGCAGAGCCTCCGACCTTTCCGACCTTCCGACGGAAGGTCGAAACTCCGCGGAGCTGAACAACACAAGGGGCAAGAGGCGGGGAGATTCATTCCGCCCGAGTCCGGACTTGCGGTCGCTTCGGTGTTCTCTATGTGTTGTCCTTTTGCTCTGGTCTTTTGGCTTTGTTTCCGTGTTCTCTGGTGTTTCTTTCTTCTTGTTTCTGTGGTTTGGCGGTGTCGTTTCCGTGTTTTCCTCTTTTTACCCCTATTTTCCGAGGTCTGGTTTCGTTTCGGTGCTTTCTGGTTTCTTTCTTCGTTTTGCTGTGATCTGGTGGTTTTGTTTCGGTGTTTTCTGCTATTTTTCTTCTCTTTGTTTCGGAGTTTTCCGTTTTTTTCTTCTTCGTTTTGCAACGGAATCACATTTTGACCGGCTCCGCTGGGGTGCAAACGCTCAAGCCTCTCAGAGTTTTAATGATTTCTGCGGTTGCACTTAGCCATTGTGTTTTCTACTGGTTTAGGATCTCTGTATATATATATATATAGAAATACAGAAGTGGACGCCATGGGGGCTGCGTTTTTCATCAACAACCAACCACGAAACCAACAGAAACCAAACAGAAAAAGAAACACCAGAGAAAAGAAGCAACAGCAAACAGGCCCAATATCTTCATCTGCTCGTTCGAGACTCGTTCTTTTTTCCTTTTGTTTTTTTTGGTTGGGGAGGCTAAACACGAAAAAAGAGAGAGAGAGAAAAGGACTAACAACAACACACAACACACCCATCATCTTCTTCTGCTCGTTCAAGACCTGTTTTCCATTTTTTTGTTTTAGGGTTGGGGAGGCTAACAACTAGAACACACAACAAGTATAAAACAATCAAGCCCGTCATCTATATCTGCTGGTTCGAGACCCGGGGTTGGTTGAATTTTTAAACATAATCATTCTAATTCAATTTCTATTTAAACAAAGAAGCTATGATTGGATTCACTCCTTATCAAATTATGTTTAAACTCCGATTTAATTGCAAAGTTCTATTGGGAAAGGGTCTCCTTCTAGAGTCTACATGTAAGATGAAATTTGCAGTAGGGTTCTCATCAAGTATTTCCTTGTTGAGTCCCAGTTAGTTCCTATTCAGATTCAACTGAATTTTACAGAGCGGCTGTTGGTGCAGATGTGAATTGAGTACGAACAACGCTACAAACACTTTGTTTTTCGGTGTTTTCTGACCATGGTGGTGCTGGGGCTAGTACACAAAAACACGCGATCTTGGGACCTCTGAATTCTGTCCTTATGACTTACTAGCTTTATCAAAGTCTACTCAATTTCTGACTGAAATTCAATAGACAATTCTAGGGACAGACTCCAATCAGAATTTCTATGTGAAAGTAGAATTTGAATAATGATTCTTATGCTTGAAAACAAACGTTACACAGGAACATGTATTCAACATGATTTCTTTTCTTATGACTGCTACTTAATATATTGATCAAGCTCTTTTGTTCTTCTTCTTTTTATCTCACATTAAATTGCGTTTAATAAGGACAGAATCCAACGATTGTTTTTGAAATATAATCTAACTAATGATTATTCTATTTCAAAAGACATGCTAAAACGGGGTTCCTTTCCCATAGAATCGGCTTTGCAAATCAGTAGACATTAAAACAATGTGTATTTAACAATTATTAATGGACCTCGAAGTTATTTCTTATGAATTCTATTTAATATATGTATCAAGTTCAACTTAAATTCTGACTAAAACTAAGAAGAATAAAATAAAGAACGAGTCCAATCAGAGGAAACAAACGCAGCCCCCAGGAATCCGGGAAAAAAAGAAAAAAAACAACGCAACCCCCCGGACATCCCGCCCTCTGGATATAGTATTCATTGGCAGCAGACAAACTCACATCCCAAAGCTAAGGGTTTGTGGCTGACACTTTGGGTTTGACGTATTTGACCAAATTTGCCAGATTTTGACAAATTGTGCATCAACTTTGCGTCATATTTTGACGAGTGTTTGCACGGTTTAGTCAGGTTTTGTCAAAGTTTGAGATGTTTGGCAGGTTGTCTTCACAGTGGACCTGCACGATCTTGACCCTTGCCTGCTGTTTGAGTGGTGAAGCCAGCTGGCACCCTGCAAATCCCTGGCCGCTCGGTT